CAGTTAACGCACTGGCTCTGCCCCCAGACCTGTACATCATCTTACATTTCATTCAGTGGACTGTTGACAAATATGATGCAGGGCAACAACTTCATAAATGCAGTTATGCCCTAAAATTAAAGATATTGGTGCAAAAATGCTCCTGTATGAGTTTTTGTCTCATATTTACAGTATACCGCATGATAAGCGATATCACACGAGCAGCGAGAGCAACACACGAGTGCTGTTTGAGTGCAAATGTGATTTTACACAACAGTTGAGTAAATAAGAAGCTAATATCGTGTTGCATTTTAAACACAATATTGTCTGTTTTTGCTCAGTTTTGCCAACAAAAGTATGACCTAAAAACCAGAGCAGAATTGTTGTGCGTCTCTGAGCAACACAGCGGTGTTTAGTTTCTGAATGAATCTGTTTTAAACAAATCGAGTGAATCAATGATTCAAAGGCCATTCATAAAGTGAACCGTTTATGTACTTAATACTTTCTAATTTAACACAAAAATAGCATTAAATAATCTTTTGGGGGTATTTTCACAGACAAATGTAATTTACGATTAATTAATTAGATAATATATACTGTATACACACACACACACACACACACACACACATACTGTATGTATATGCCCTAAAAAACAATTATACACCATTTTGATTCTTAAGTAAATATATCTTATTATTTCACAAAAACAATGAGGGCATGACAGAATCAAACCTGAACACTTACTGTACAACAAAAACCAAAAATGTAATCAAAATCATGACACTAAACAGCAGAAATAGATCTTTCTCTCTCACGAGTGGAGTTCATCTGAAATCCATAGGCCAAATGGAGACTGACTTCATAATGCAGAAAAGATGAGTATGATCCAGCGGTCTGCAGCACACCAGCACTCAACACCTGTCTATCAGTCAAATCAGCGCACACTACTTCAGACAAACCTTTATCATGACGACAATTTAGTGATTTCAACGTACTCTTGAAGAAAATACGAAACACTGCAGGATATTACAACGCACTACAATAATACACCTTTTCACGCTGAATAAAACTGACCAAGAATCATGTGACACAAGAAAATATTTACCAAATTTTAAGGAGATCATTTACCACCACACGATCACTCTGTCACGATTTCAAACCTGTTTGACTTTCATTAAAAATTATATTTTGAAGAATGCTGGGAACCAAACGACATTGAACCCACTGACTTTCAACTAATATCTGTCCTCTATCCGTCCAAACACCAAACCCAGAGCGGACTGTATGCAGTGAGCTGTGATCGTCCTTACCTGAGCTCCAGAGCGGCGCTTTCCAGAGACGGCGCTCTAAAATCACTTACCTTCACCCATCAGAGACAGACACTGAAGCACAGACAGAGAGCGAGCGAGCGACGGGTCCTTCGACAAGTGGCTGGCAGCTGGAAAACGGCCCTGAACGCAGTTTGTGAACGAGTGGAGCGAGATCGGGAGCGAACTAGCCAGAGGAGTTAGTGAGACGGAGGGGTCAGGAGCAGGAGAGGAGCCTGGGACGGCCGGAGCTCATGTGGGGCTCGTATGTGGGGTTGGAGGTTAGTACTTTAGTAAAGAAGAGCAGGTCAGACACAAAAATGGTTGTTAGTACAGTTACAACAAAGGTTTCATTCGGATTAGTAACAGAATTTGAGTTTTAGTCAATTAGTAGAGCAGTCAATTGGTGAAATCCTTTGTGACTTGATTCGACATGAGAGAGATTGGTCCGAATTGTCACGTCTGGTGGGTTTTGAGGTTAAGAGGAAACCAAATAAACCATCCAAAAGAGTCAGGACATGGGGAAGAAGCCATGCAGCTGAGTGAGCAGATGAAGATGGCGTCGATGGGAATGAGCTGCGGATGAAGGGCAAAGCGAACGCTGAGCGCAAGCCGATGGCGGAGAGAGTCAGAACACAGTCACAGCACGCCACAGATGGAGGAACGGCGACATTTAGTTGATTAAGGGGTTAAATCTGAGGCGGGACACAACACAATGAGCACTCTGAGTCCACAGGTTTGCGTGCAAGCCGAGACGCGCTGGTTCGTTCGGCTTGGGCATCGCAGACTCCCTCTCGCTGCGGTGAACGGGATGAAGCAGATGAAGCATGCACACAACCGTACTGAAGATACCAAAGAAACACAGCAGGAGAGGCCACTCGTGATGCTAGACATGAGTGGAACGAGCTGGCAGATAACTAAACGTGGCTGTCTCTGCCTCGGAAATATTGTTATTCTAGAGCGCCGGAGCCCTGCCAGAGCTCATTAGATCGGTTTAATGGCATACTAATGTGAGCAGGAGGATCTGGAGCTGACCCTTCGACCAGATCTACTGAGCCCTGATGTGAAGTTATTCCTATCAGAAGGGGGCGTGGCTGATGTCTATAGGGTCTGCTAGATCAGAAATATGCATATGTGTATATAGAGTACACACATATACCGCTGGACCAGAGTAAGAGTGTTTCTGCTGAACGAGCTTCATTAATGAGTTAGTATCAGTGTTAATGAACACAGGTCCCACACGGCAGAAACCGCTGTGGGCGGGGCTGTGGGCGGAGCCTCGTGTTTGACGAGTCCAGTGACAGGCAGTGAGGAGCTACAGCTCACGATAAAGCTCATCGACACACGCCTCACAACACCTTTGGACCAGTGCTGTTACTGTTAACTACAACTATAGAGCTGAAATAAAATTAAAATATAAATATTAGATCTAAAAAAAGAATAATGAAATAAAATGAGGCAAGGCAAGTTTATTTATATAGCACATTTCATACACAATGGAAATTCAAAGTGCTTTACATAAAAGGAAAATAAAAAAGGAATTAACATTTTTAAATGAAATTACATTTTCAACTGAAATAAAAACAAATAGAAAAATATCAAAAATTGTGTTTGTTAATTGAAAAAGCTTAAAAATGAATATTAAATATAAATAAGTTTACGCGTAAGTACTAATATTACTAATTACCATATGAGTTAAAATTCCTAAAACTGAAATGAAATTCAAATAAAGCTAAATAGAAATGAACAAAAACTAAAAAAATGACAAATAGACTAAAACTGAAATTCTAATGAAAATGAAAGCTAATTCTAAAAGAACACTAATTACTGAAGAGCGCTGGTTTGGTCTGACAGTTCAATAAAGCGCAGATCTGCAGGTGATTCTCGTCTGCCAAACAGCAGAAGCTCCCTGGCATCAATAACGCCTCCCTTGGAAGTTATACGGGCCACTACGCTTCAGTAATAATTAACTGTTCATGTTTAATAATTAGGTTAGTTGTCCTGTGGGTTAGTACACTAATGAAATCATCACTCAGCAAACGAACCCAAAAGCGTGCAGCTCGGGTCGGGCTCTGATCGCTGCGCTTCTGATCTGTTGAGTAAATCTGAGCGCCTCTTGTAATGGGGTTCTGGCCCTCGTTTCAGACCGTGTTTTACGGCCAGGTCTGCCCGCTCTGAACCGGGCCGTAAATCCAAAGCTCCAGGAGAGACGAGCATGCTGAACACCAGAGAGACTCAGTATCATAACATTCACTGTAAGACTGGACATTCTCACCTCAGCTCACAAAACATGTGCTGAACTGAAAACATTATTTCTGAACGTTCAAAACTTCCTTTTTTTCTCAGTTGTACAAGCATTCCATTTGATCATTTTGCAAACGTTACTGGAATGTAACATCTGAATGTCCTCTGAATGTTTTGAGACAAGCAGTAATCATACAAATTGTTTAATTTGTTTAAAAATCAAAGGTGGGTAAAAAGCACACAAATACTTCAGCTAAAATAATGTTTTGTCTAAGTTAATACTTGCTCAAAACAATCACTTTAGCAAAGATTGTACTATTTTCTGCTATGCACTATTTTTTGTTCAATAAGTATACTGGCATTAAAATATGTTAATATAAAAATATATTTTAAAATACAGAAACAAAATCATTTTAAAAAGTAAGGATTCTGAAAGCATTGAAGGAGATCCAGTAATAATTGAATATAGATGTACAGTAGTAACAACAAATAATATTTTATTATAAGATATGATTAATATCATGTTTGTAAATATGATGGTTTCGTTCTAAACACGGTGGTTATCTCTAAGACGGACACCCAACATAATATATGATATTTACATCTGAATCTAATGTCATGTCAACAAATGGAAAAGTCAGCCATCTATTAATTATCATGTTAATTACTGTGCTTTTAGCCCCAAATACCATACTTTTACATATTCTTTCGTTTTTTAAAAACTGAAAATCATTAAGAAGACATTTGCCTCAAAATATATGCATTGATTTTAGCAATCCTCATTTGCTGGTTAAATCTACAACATAAAAAAACTGTAATGGTCCCTGTGGGCTTCTACTGGTAATTGGTCACCTTCTATTATCTTCTATCTGGCTTGTTAAAACCACTAAATCCTAATGGAGCATGTCCATGTTCTTTAGTGGTTGTAATGGCTAAAAGTTAACGGTTTGTAATGGTATTTGTAGTGAAAACCATTAGAATCGTTGTTTATTTCGACCAGCTTTATCGAGTTCCTTAAATCCTTACTGCCTGCCGCTGGGGTCGTTTACGATCACTCAAATGAACGTTCATATCGGTTAAGAGGGTCGTAAATCATACTGGGTAAGCTGAGTAAAGGGGAGGCGCAGCCACAGTTAAACATAAACTTTCATCGTGCTCTGTCGAGAAACTTCTTTATTTCAGACGACCCGATCACGACCACATGGACCGAGAAAGCAAGCGTTTAACCCGAGATCTTTCTGAGAGCAGGGGAGATGCAGGATGGACAAAACAAAGAGAAAACCATGAGCGAATGACACAGTGAAAGGAAAAGAGTGGAGGTCTGTAGTCTGATCGCTACCTTGATACCAATGGGGATTTGTGTAGTCAGTATAAGCAAACAGAATAGAAATAGGAAACGGAAATCCAGGGCAAACCAAAGTAGAAGACAATTAGAAAGATATCTACCATATAATGCAGTTTGTTTACCATAGCGTGTCCAATGCCTGAGTGCTTTAGGAAAAAAACAAGGGAAGGGAAAGAAAATATATAGAATAATGACAAATCCTGAAGCCAATAAAGGTCTTTTGAAGAGCGGCGGTCTTAAACCGGCCTTCGCGCTCTCTTTTCCTAATGTGGTTTTTGTGCAAGAGAATCAAGATCCAAATCCAGAACTAAAGCAACAGAATCTCTCCATCGAAGGATTTGTCAAGCAAAACAAAAACATGACAACAGTATTGTTATTTTGGTTAGTACGTCAGTACGCAAGTTAATTTGGAAAACAAGGGATGGCCCGCATTCCGTGAATGGCACGATGTTAGTCGCTTCAAAGGAACACAAACAGGTCAAAACCAAACACAAAACCCAAAATGAAACTGGAAGAACTTGAAGCTGTGGGGTTAGTAAGAAGACACAAGAGTTAGCGAAACCGTTCTCCACATGAAGAAGGGATATATGTGGGATAGATCGGGGGAGGGGCTGGTTGGAGTGGGAGGGGCTAGAAGCATTCGGATTGGCTAGTCCTGTGAGTGGGCGTGGCCTGTTAGCGGGCGGGGCTCTTTACAGGCCAATTGGGCCAGACTTGGGTTTCGGAGCAAAGTGAGAAATCGCTCGTCTCTGGCTGACGACTAAAAGGAGGCAAAAACACAACCGAGTTAAACAGTGAGACATCAACAACATCTTCAGGAACAAAACAGCTCATTAACAAAACGGGTTAAGAAGGAAACATGCGGTGCCGCCATCTCGGACCTGGAAGAAAAGACCGTTGTGATTACAAAACATCATCCAGACCTCATACAGATGCAGATTCTGATCCAGACCCAGCCTCAGACCCAAGCCTCCGCACTAGGGTGTGTATGACCTATGACCTCTGACCTCAGGCGCTGTGACCCAGAGGTTTCTGCTCGGAGGGAATACATTAAATCAGTTCTGAGTAGCAGTTAGCGGCGGTCTAGAGGAGGCTTCCCTGAGCGAAACAAGAACAAGACTGATATCTGATGTCCCACGCAGTGTTCAGAGCTCAGCGCTGAGATCCAGAAGATGAAGACTGTGATGTGTGTGATCACACTAAAAGACAGACTTTTGCAGCTTGAAACAAATTGCAGAATGGTGCAAAACACTCTTCATTTGACCAAATAAATAATAAATACACACTAGATACACTACCGGGTTCAGTATCTTTTTTGTTTTATTTTTTAATTAATAATCGAAGTGACAGTAAAGACATTTATAATGTAACAAAAGATTTCTATTTAAAATAAATGCTGTTCTTTTGAATTTTCTGTTCATCTGTGAATCTTGAAAAATAATAAAATCACGGTTTCCGCAAACATATTGTGCAGCATGACTGTGTTCAGCATTGATAATAATCAGAAATGTTTCTCGAGCAGCAGATCAGCATATTATACTGATTTCTGAAGATCATGTGACACTGAAGACTGGAGTAATGATGCTGAAAATACAGCTGCGCATCACAGAAATACATTACAGTTTAACAGAGATTCACAGAGAAAACAGCTGTTTCACATTAGAATAATATTTCACAATTTTAGTGTTTTTTCTGTATTTTTGATCAAATAAACGCAGCCCTGGTGAGCAGAAGGAACTTTTTAAAAACATTAAAATGATTACTGATCGCAAACTTCTGAACAGCAGTGAGATATACTAATACATATTGCATTAATAAATATGTTTTGTTTATGAATATGAATTGTTATTATTAATTTTTAAAACATATTAATGAAATACATAGTTGTGTGGATTTTATTTGTTTATTTTTTAATTTTTTTAAGCCGGATCTAAAAATGACCATCCACTTTCGGTCTTTAAAACACTTCCCTTCGCGTGGAACTGAAGACAGATGCGTAACGACTCGAGCAGAGAATGCTGATTCTGTGTGGACCGAAAAATAATTCAGTTTGATTGATTTGTAAAGAGCTTCTCATAACACATATTGTTCCAGAAACAGGTGACGGATGCAAGCGTTTATAGAGCCGCTGAGAAATATGAAAATGTATTTTCACAATCTGTGAATGTGACCTGCGCGTCTGTCATGAAACCAGGCTGATCGAGTGTTTGTGAGGAGAGAATGAGAGAACAAGAGCTGAATTTATCACACACACACACATACACACTCTCTCACACACACACACACTCTCTCTCTCTCACACACACACACAC